TTTTTTTTTTTTTAACCAATTTTGACACCAGCTGTCACTTTCATGGTGCTTTCTGTTCTGCTGGGTTCAGTAATTTGTTGCAGTGGCCACACAGAACAAAGATCATACAATTATGGGGTTTATTAGGGTAAGAAGAAGTTACAATTCAGGATCAGGATCAACTTGGAAGTGATAGGAACAACTCAGGATATAGCCTTGATCAGGATAGTTTCTTGGCAGTTTCTGCTGGGCCCAGGTCAGAGTTTAGTTTCTCCTCTACTCAGGTAAGTGTTACTAGTCTTTCTTTACTCCACCGAGGTCTGGAGGCAACCCTCTCTGTAAGAAAAGCTATCTGCGGTAATGCATTCTCTGCATAGAACAGGCTGCAGCAGGCTGCTACTATCTCATCTGGTCCATAGCCATTTTCAGGGTTAGATCTCCCTGTCTTGGATGTATACATGTGTTCTGCTGCTGCCTCTTCTTGTTGGTAGTTAGGTCTCACTTCAGCCTGTGGGATGGGCTCTTCTTGTTAAGTCTCACTCTCGCCAGTGAGTTAATTCCAATCCATAGCGATCCTGTGGGAAAGAGTAGAACTGCTTCACAGGGTTTCCAAGACTAAATATTTTCAGTTAGTGAATCAACTTTCACCACTACTTATTCTGAATTGTTTTCATCATCTGAAACAAACTGTAACCATTTAAGCAGTAACTTCCCATCTCTTCCCATAACCATTAATTTACCCCCACATTGCCCCTAGGGGTCCTTTTATAAGCCTCCAAAAAAGCCAAACTCATTGCCACTGAGTTGATTTTGACTCATAATGACCCTTAGTTGGTTAGGAATTGGCAACTCACTGCAAGGTAAACAGTTCAAATCTACCAGCTGCTCTGTAGGAGAAAGATGAGGATTTCTGTTCCCCTACACAGATTTACAGCCTTGGAAACTTATAGCCAGTAGTTGTATTGATTCACTGGCAGTGCCTTTTTTGGGGGTGGGGTGGCGTCTCTGCATTTCTTAGGCCTAGCAAATGGCCCTTGCTGTAAGCCACAAGTACCTTGTGCATCATCACTGTTCAATCCCTGGTAAGCGTTTAACACTCATTATTTGCATTAATCATTTTGTGCAAGCTAAAGAGATTATAAGCCAGTACTGTGCAGGCAGACCCCACCATGGTGCACCAAACCCTGAGGGCAGTGTAACCACATGGAACAACTCATGAACAGATTGGGCTACAGGGCTGCCCTCAATCAGAGCCAAACTGACCCCCTCCCTGGAAGTACATATGTGCTACAGAGGACAGCCTACAGGGGAGAGGGACTGGCATGCCACACCCACATGGAAGCTAGCACAGAGGACGACAGCCCACAGGGGAGAGGGACTCACATGTCACACCCACGTGGAAGCAAACCAAAAAGGAAAAAGAGAGAGTGAGGGCCTGTACCCCATATCGGCACACCAAGCCCAGAGGATGGTGGGCTACGTCCTTGCAAGGAGCTGCTAAGGCACAGAAAGGACTGTAGGGCCCACAGCTGGAGACATGATGTCCCTTCACTGGAGCATGCTGTGACAGAGGACAATACTGAAGACACACGGCAAGGAGTTAGTCTGGTCTGACCCCCACAGTGAGGCAGACCAAGAAGAGAACATACAGATCAGCAATGGGAGCAAAGCCAAGCCACAAAGCCTCTGAGGAGTCCCAAAAATAGACTAAGGCTAGGAGGGGCAGTTCCTAGAATTTCCTCAGAACCAGTGGGGAGATAGTCATAAAGTTCAGCGGACAGACCTGGAATTATGTATGCTTTTTCCCCCCTAGTTATTATCTTTTTTCCACCTTTTTCCTTTTTATTCAGTCTTGTTTTCTTTTTGTTTTGTCTCTGTTATTGTTGGTTTTGCCTATCTATCTAAGATAGGATGGGAAGCAAGCTCAAGGAGAAAACAACGGACTTGACCGATGGTTCCGGAGGGTAGGAGGAGGAGGCAGGGGGAAGGGAGCAGTGAGCAAACAACGCCATAGACAGGGGAACAACTAGGGAATTAAAATCAACAAGGAGGACTTAGAGATCCTGGGGTGTTAGAGCAGCAGCAATCTAGCTGAGAGGAATTACTAAGAGAAGGGTGAGCATGATGGTGGGAAAAGAGGAGGGTAAAAGGAAACAGGAAAGATCTAGGAAGCAAACCTATAGGTATAAACGTTGGTGTGCACTCATGTAAATATATTAACTCATAAAAATAGAGGCTTATGTATATATATTTATATGGTAATACATTGAGGAAGTGGACGGACTTTGGGCCACTGTTCCAACA